ATGGCTGCTTCGGACTCGAAGCCGTTCTGGAAGGATGACGAGATCGCTGTGGACCGCGATGGAATCCCGCACTTTACGGGGGCCAAGCCGGAGCTGGTGAAGGAATACCGCCGGAGGGTGCTCTTCGCCTACAACCTCGAGGGCAGCGGCGACGATGAGGCCAAAGAAGCCCGGAGCTTGAGGAAGAAGAAAGCACGCTTCGCAAAGCGGCTCCTGGACGCTCTGCACGGTGAAGCCTGGCGTTCTTGTCAGGATCTTCTGCTGGATGCCGAGGGTCTACGGAAGGAGGACGGCTACAAGAAGGTTTCCGCGGCCCTGCAGTCGATCGAGAAGGTCGGCGTCATCAAGAAGACGGAAGCCTTCGATCACTTCTTCGAGCGCTGCTACTTTTGGCTTACTTCCTCCTGAAGAGTGCCAACCTCAGCCGTGAGGAAAGACGTCAAATTCTGTTGGCCAACCAGTCCGACTACAGCCTGGCCGGCATCGAGACGGCGCTTCGCGTCTCGTTCTTTGACCTCCACGAGAAGGAGAAGGGGCGAGATTGGAGCTCGACGTCGGCAAGAAGACCAGGCAAGGGCTTTGGCAAGCGCGGCCACTTCACTTGGCCGAGGATGGCGAGGTCGACGAGTCGGATGGCGGCACGGCCAACGATGACGAGGCCCACGACGAGGAGCACGCGCTGGAGGCCGAGGAGGACCAAGGCGAGCCGGACGAGTTCTCGGACATGGGCGCGTCGAATGACGACGAGGTCTACGAAGCCTATGCGACCTAAAAGGATTCCCGCAAGAAATTGAAGGAGATACAGCGCAACAGAGGCTTTGTGAAGAGCCGCGACGACCAAGCGGAGGACCGACGTGAGGCAGCGCAGCGTGAAAAGCAGAGGGCGAGGTGCTCGGCCTGCAACAAGTTAGGCCACTGGGCAGGCGATGCAATTTGTCCTCGTCGTTCTGGAGATCCTCGAGCAAGGGTCGAGGCAAGAAGGGTCGAAGCGCTTCGTCTGCCAAAGGGTCAGGCAAAGCTTACTTTGTGTCCGAGGCCAAGCCGCTGTTCTTCTCCCTGGGCGCCGACGACGAGCAAGAGGAGCAGTTCTGCAACATGGTCCGCGACACCGACGGTGAGAAGGACATGGACCAGGACGCCGGCGACACATACTTAGACAAGCGTCGAAAGGAGGCCAAGGCGGACCCCGAGAGTGACAGTTCCGCTTGGGAAGCTGTGGCACCGCCTTACCCAATGGCAAGCAGCAGCGCAGTGCCTGAGGAGTTCGCCCCTTTCGTGCCCAGGCGTGACGCCCAGAAGCCCAAGGAGAAGGACCAGCACATCATTGTCAGCGTGCCAGCCGACAAGATCAAGAAGATCCACGTCAAGTCCTTGGCTCTCGCTCGGCCAGCAGGTGTGGAGGAGATGAGGGTCAGGGAGTTGCAAGCCGATTGTGACCGTTGGGGCATTGCCGTTTCCGGGTCAAAGTCAGAGATCTTGCTTCGACTTCGTCGTCTTTATGGTGGCGAGATGGTGCTGCAGAAGGGCTGCACTACTCGATACGTGCAGTTGACTCCAGAGCCTTTGTCAACGGCGGCGGCACCGACTCGGAGCAGGACTTCGGCGACCTCGGCGGCCAGGACTCCACCACAGCATCGACGGCTACCGGCACCACGACGGCGAAGGCATCGGCGGGCAGAATGCCTATGACTACGCCGGCGGCTACCAGAACCACGACGGCAACGGCACGAGCTTCGGCGGCAGGACACGGAGGTGGAAGTGCACCGGCCTCAGCCCCAGCTTCTTCGATGGCCAGTCTTCCGGGAGGATGGCTTTTCGCGAGGAAGCGGGGGGAAACCGCCAAGCCAGTGAGCCGCTCGTTGACCCACGCACGGGTGTGTTGCGCCGCCTGAGATCGAGTTCGACAAGCCGGTGGCCGAAGTTGTGTGTCGCTACTGTGGCTGCAGCATGGTTCCTCGGCGCCGCAAGGATGGAACAGCCTTCTTTTTCGGGCGCCTCAACTTCGGCAAGTCCAAGTCCTGCACCTTTGGACACAACATGGACGAAGGACTGGATATTTGGCGCAGCAAGCGCCAAGGTGGATCAAAGTGATGGGCGCCTCCCATTTTGGGGGGATACTATTTCACCCTCGCTGGCAGGACGAGCTTATGTTGCCAATGGCGGGGCTTGCAAGAATCCGAATTCGATTGATGAGCCCAATGTAGTCCCTTTGAATTCAAGCAGCGCAGACTGGAACGAGGCACTGGCAGGTACCAATTTGGACCGGCATCTTCTTGAAGACCGAGAAGGTCATATCAACGAGGCCCGTGTGGCCCTTCTGGACACGGCGTGCACGGCTTGCCTTCACTCGAGGAAATGGAGACAGGCCTACAGCTCAACGCTCCCAAGTGGTTACCAGTGCACCGCCACCAAGTCCAAGAAAGCCTTTCATTTCGACAATGGCGATTGTGAGAACCAAATGGTGGTTTGGCGCATACCAATTTTTCTCCAAGGCGTGGCTGGCGAGGTGCACTCTGCCGAGCTTGACGCCGGCGCCACCCCACTTCTTTTCTCGATCCCCGCGACGCAGGCGTTGGACATGGTGCTTTACATGAAGGACCTGAAGGTTGGCATCCGGACACTTGACCTCGAGATGTCCACGCAGGTCACTCGTTCCAAGCACATAGCTCTGGACATTGCTTTTGATCCCTCCTTGAGCGCACAAGAGGTCCCACGAGAAGACATGGGCGACTTCGTGGTCTACTTTGTGGACGAAGCGCGGCTGCCGATACTTCACCTATGCGCCTTTCCTGTGGAGGCGGAAGCTTTCTGGAATCAGGGCAAGTCGGCGCCCAACCTTGGACCCCGAGGCGTGCAGACCAACGACAAGGTTGGGGAGTTGAAGCAGAGGCGGGTTGCCGAGTTTCAGAGAGCGGCACGGAACCACCAGTTACGGGATCAGCGTGCTTGGTCAGCTTTGAGGCGTGACTTCACCATGGCAGAGCAGCACGCCACCCGTGGCTTCAAGGACACCGTGATTTTCGAACCTTTTGCCGGCACCTTCGGCATCACTCGAATGGCGGCGGAGGAGTTCGGCTGGACATGCTCCCACCCTGAAGCTCCAATATTCCTTAAATTGAACATCGCTTAATCAAGAGATCTAGATAAGGCATGTTCTCCTAATTAAGGCATATTTAATATGCCTTAATTAAGGCATGTAGATTTCAGCATGTCCTCACAT